TTAGCATGATACGATAGCGCTCGCCATTGACTATCATGTTCTCACCGGCATAACTGATTGATGAAATATGGACCGTACTTGAAACTTTTCAAGAGCCCATAGAGCGAAGCGATGCCACCTGAAAAAGTCGAGCGGCATAAGCTGTCTTTTACACGACTTCAATCTAAGATCTCGACGCAGGATGTGAAAAGTCGTTCCATAAATCCGAGTTGCTACGAACGGCGCCGAATTGTCTCTCCACCATCTTCGTGTACACTCTCAGTTATGGCTGCTATATTTTCTTCAGTGTGTGCTGGACGGGGTCTATTCGGTAGAATATTATCCAATGGGTCTCAATATGGGTGATGGTGTTGCGAGTAGTACAATTAGTAGGCCGTTTATGTTGACTATAAGTTGAGCGAAGAGCGCGAAACACATTCTTAACAGAACTTGAATTATTGTAATAGAATTTAGCTTACAAATCGCTACGTTACGTTGTTCACGCGTAAGTCTTTTCATGACTATTGAATAAAGTGCCTCTGACTTTTTTCATTCACTGGATGCTAGATCGGGCTTCAGCTCTAAGTATTAGTGAAAACTACTTTGATGTTTAGTTATAAATTGAGTATCTCAAAAGTTTTAGTCCTCACCTTCTTTTAGATTTGAAGTCGGAAATGCATTTTTAATATTGAAATTCCCGGCCGAAATCGGAAAGTATTTTTTCACCGATATACGAACTAATTTCAAAGGGACTCAGTTTTCACTTTATTTTTGTTCTTCAAGTAGTTTTGAAGATTGCATAGAAATATCGATTTATTTCTGACATATATCCTGACGCCGATCTAACGAAATTATTTCCTGTTATTTTGTGATCTCGTGAATCTCTTCTTCCACGCTTTTATTAATAATAACTTCGTATAGTCGGCCAACATAGCTCTAAGTTTCGTTAGCTAAGTTTATATCAACTTTATTTACGCATAATTTTCTGTATAGAAGTTACATTCAAGCGTACTTATTGTAATGATCAATCCGGGATCCACAGGACAAGCGCTAGATTGCAAGAAGGCGACGAACTATCCCCGGATGAAATTATGGTAATGTTGCATTCTATAAGAAACTCATCGGTTTTACAGTTTCCAGCAATTCTGCCATATAATGGCTATTGTCGAAGCTGTCAGAAGGAAGAAGGAGAGGAGATTATGCTACGTTAATGTAAGGCATGTATAGGACTATATTCACAACTAAAAGCACAGGGTTTCTTGACAACATTTTGGAGGTTGAACAGATAAAATTTTTAAAACTGTTTACGTTGGTGAACTTCTTCAGAAGCATGGGATGGTTCAGAGTTGAGACCAGTGAATGTGGGGATTTTAACGAGTCAATTTAAAAGTCTAAGCCGCTACTAGAATTAACTCCATAACCTTCAAAAGGAGCAAGTATAAATTTGATATAATCAAGAATTTCACGTGTTGATAAAATATTGCTTTGACTTGATGATGAGTTTCCGGACACTGCCTCAGTAAAATCAACCATCAAGTATGGGAATCGTAAGTTTAGAAGTAGTAAAATAACCACCGACGTGGATAACAAAAAGTTCCATAAAGTAATGATGGATGATCACAAAATTAAGTTGCTTGAAATAGAAGGTCCTGTGCAAAGCGCACTCTCGTCTCGGCTCGAGCTCACTTCTGACTAAAACAACGACGAGTTGAGGATCTGGAGCAATGTTTGGAAATGTACAAGCTTAAAAAGCCCGAGTTTTTGCATGGATATATGACAATGGATCAAACATCGCTTCATCATTTCACATCGGGGTCCAATCGACAGTCATATGAGTGGTCTGTGCACGATGAGCTCGCTCTAAAGAGTGGAAAAACGCAAAAGTCGGTTGGCAAGATTATGGACTCTCTTGGAATATAATTTCTTGAATTCTTTGAGAAAGAAAGAAACATAAACAGCAACTATTATAAAGTATTATTGGACCGTTTGACGAAGTCGCCGAAAACTACCGCATTTGAAGGAAAAGAAAGTGCTGTTTCACTAAAACAATGCACCGTGTCACAAATCAGTGAAAACGATGGCAAAAGTAAATAAATGGGACTTCGAGTGTCTTCCGCATTCATCGTAGTCTCCAGATTTGGTCCACTCTCGGAAACAAGAGCGTTCGCTGGGAAGAAATTTTCGTCGAATGAAGAGGTGATCGCCGAAGTTGAGTCCTATTTTGAACCAAACAACAACTCGTACTACGAAATGGTATCATCCTTGAAGGGAACTATCTTGAGTAAAAAAAGAAACGAATTTTGTCATCAACATTTTTTTACTGTGGTAGGCCAGCACTCACACAGCCACTCTTTAAAATTGCATACCTTCAAAAAAGTTATGTTTAACAAATTGAAAGAACAAGTAAAACGCCTAAAAGTATGCTCAAGTAAATTACAACTCTACTGCAAATAATTGGTTTTGTTTATATTTCGCCAAAATTAGCAGACGCACTAAATAAAATTTGCTTAAATTAAACAAAGCAAAAAAATGTTTTCGTGTCTCACTTGAAACTGGTTCTTGTTGTTATTCCACTTCGTTCTTTTCATATATATCAGCCACTTAACGCAGTTTATTTTTTGCAAAGACATTTATGATTAACAGTCAATTTAGTAGCAATTAATTATGTGTACTTGAGAGCAATCGTTGTCGAACGCTGGCGCTTGTTGTGAGTGATCATGCTCAGTGATCTTCTTGAGACACGAGCAACTCAATTCCAAAGCGATTATAACATTTTGACTAAACATTTCGTATATTTCAATTAAATTTGACTTTGTCGGCATTTACTAATAAATATGTTAATTGAATGGGTTCTTTGACGCGCTGCCGACTTCTGTTGCTCGAATCGCACAACCGTTAATGTGTAGCAAGTTCGTGAGTAATGTGGTGTTGTTCCGATTACTTTTTATCAGCAAACGGGGTTGAGGTGGCAACGATCTTCTTGTGAGCCAGCTTTTGCGTAGAAGAATTCATCATACATAAAAGCTATTTAAAGCTCAATGAGCCATTCCAGAAGGTTGACCCCATTCACAAGATTACACCGTTGCGTTGAATAAAGGTAAAGATCGGTTCGTGCGACAGATCATGCGCTGCGCGCAGTATTCGTTCGGTCGGCATAATCGCCTAGTAGAGTTGGCCACCGATACCTGCTATCACAAGAAATTTTCATCCAGCGATGAAGCTCACTTTTGTGCTGAATGGCACTTGGAGTGAAGACACAAACCATTGCTGAAACGCTGGAGAAGGAAAATCTTGGTCAAGAAAAAAAAAAAAAAAAATTAAGAAAAGTGGAGGGAATACACTCAGAATCGGAGTTTCATCCAAATTTGATCAACAAAAAATCTTTTATTCTTACCAATATTGATAATTTTTCAAAGTGCTATGGAAAATCTATAAGTGTGTTTTGGTCATACAAAGTTTAAAAAGGTGGTGCTATTCAAAGATGGTACACTGATAATAGCAACCCTACAACTCTTCGATACCATTTTTGTAGTAGGAATTGTCCTTTGCTTCAAAATAGACCCAAGTTACGGCGATCACCGCTTCGTTCAACAAAATTGTGTCCTAGAAAGCATTTTTTTAGACCTGAGAATAGAAAATAGTCACTGAGAACCGTATACTCGAGCTCGGATGACAGACGATTGGACTTCAGTGTGAAATAATGGTGCCATGTTTTATTCATTGTCAGATATCGACGAAAAAACTTGGGTTTATTAGTCTTGAGCATTTCCAAACACTGCTCCGAATCATCAACAAATGAGCGAAAAGGGCGCCACCCACTTACTACAGAGCTTTCTCATACCAAATATTCGCGTGAATGGTATGATTTACATGTTCAGTTGATGGCTAAAGAGTATCAGCTATCTCCAACAACTTCATTTTACCGTCATCTAGACTTATTTTGTGGCCTTTTTTGTTGTTTTCTCCGCAAACAGCTTTTTTGGGGTGTCCACTGCATACATCGTCTGCAGTGCTCATTTCGCCGCGTCGAAACATAGCATACCAATCCCTGGTGGTGGATTTTCCTGAGGCAGTGTCTGGAAACTCGTAATCAGGCCAAGTTTTTGCTTCAACTGTATTTTTTCACTTCAAAAAGCCATATTTTATCAACACTCAAAAATCCTTTTTATCCATTTTTTCCACTATAACAAAATGATATAATAATTCACAAACTGTTGATCTGACAGCTGTCAAATTTTTAATGCGGCTTTTAAAGGTTACTACTAAAAATTATATGGATTTAATTCTAGTAGCGCCATCTTATTGTCAAGCCGAAGACTTTTCTATTGATCTGTGACCTATTACGTGAAGCGAGAGGCTATAATTTTATGAAGACAAGAAATGTCAAAAAAAAAAAATAAATAAATAAAAAAAAACACAAATCGGAGTATAAATAAATAAAATAAAAAAAAATAAATAAATAAATAAATAAAAAAAAAAAAACACAAATCGGAGTAAATGCAGCATTTAAGGAAATTAAGATAAAAAATATATTTTACTTGTAAATATGTTTTATCATAGTCTCAAATAAAATTTGGTGTTGCTAACCGCTTTCAATAAAAATATTAATACATTTTGTAAACTCACAAACATTTCTCAGTACATTTATAAATGTAAAAATGCTTGAAAATAAATCAACAATAAAAAAACAGCGCCATTGGAGCAGAAAAATTATTGCTACGCTCCGAAAGAGCCTAATGGAAATTAAACGTAATTCAAATTTTTGCAATACCTGTTTGAGATGAGTTTAAAAACATTAAAAAAAAAAAAATGAAAAAGATACGAGAATGCGAAAACGTGCAAAATTTTAACGAAAATTAATTGTAAAATATTTTGTCGCAGCAAAACGCAAGAAAATTTGCATAAAAATAAAAAAGTTTTAATTTTGGTTGATATTACAGACAAAGAAAATGAAGCGGTCACAGCTGTAAGTGCATCATTAGAGCCGATGAGCCGAAAAAATTACAAAAAACTTTCTTATTCTGACTGAGGTATAAAAAGCGCTTGCCGTCAGCAAACTGAAGCTCAGAACGTTCTCAGACGTTCGCTGTACGCATTTACACAAATTTGGAGCACAATATGAAGGTTTACTTGTTGCTGGGTAGGTCGTAAATATATTAAAACAAATTGAAATATTATTAAAATACAATTTTCTATACCAGAATTTATAAGAACAGACATTTTTTCTTAAAAACATTTTTGACTTATTAAAAACGCGTTGCATTATCAATTACAGCACTCATTGGTAGCGCTTGCGCCTACCAGATCAGCGCACAGCAGCAGAACATGGTCAGTGTGGGTCAGACGGGCCAACCAGGCCAATCTGGTCAATCGGGAAAGCCGGGTCAAGCAGGCCAACCTGGTCAGCCGGGTAGATCAGTGCCGTCGAGTCAACCGGGTCAATCGGCCCAACTGGGACAATTGGATCAAGCAGGTCAACCCGGTCAACCAGGTCAACCGGGTCAGTCAGGCCAAGCCGGGCAACCAGGCCAACCGGGTCAGCCGGGTCGATCTGGCCAATCCAGTCAACAGGCCCAAAAACCCCCACATCACAGTCATCAAGCACAAAATCAACACGCACAAGCGATTGAGCAACATGTTGGGCAACTTCTTGCGCATGGTCAGCAACATGGTTCGCACCATCAGCATGAGCAACAAGTTGTGTCCAGTCCACTGCAAGTACATCAACATATTTCACATGGACAACAACAACAAGTGCATCAGGCTCAGCAACATCAGCATCATGCCCAGCAACATCAGCATCATGGACAACAACATGAGCAGCAAGGACAGCAACATCAACATCATGGTCAGCAACATGGACATCAAGGACAACAGCATCAACATCATGGTCAACAACATGGACATCAAGGACAACAACATGAACAGCAAGGCCAGCAACATTTGTATCAAGGCCCGCAACATGTCCATCAAGGCCCTCAACAAGGCCAGCAAAATGTACACCATGGACAACAACAGCAACATCAAGGTCAGCAACATGTTGCACAGCAAGCCAAATCACAGCAGCAACAATACCAAAAAGTACCTAATGCGCCGCAACTAACGCTCACCGGCGTCGTGCAACATGTGCCCATACCGCATCAGAACTATAAGGTGCCCAATCGCGTGCAACATGTTGTCGATCTGGCGCATGCGCACATACCACAAGTGCTGAACTATCACAAGTTGCACAAGAATGACGTGAATCCCGTTGTTGTTGCTGGCAAAGCAGTAAAAGTGCCCGTGATACCGCCGAACGTGCAACAAATTGTGGAACATGTACACACACACGTTCCACAAGTAGTAAATCACCATATACAACAACAAAAACAATCGGAGGTTGTGCAAAATCAACAAGATGCCAATGTCAACAAGGAACAACAACAACCAGTGGCTGGAGTACAAGGTGCTATTGTTGCGCGCAGTCAGTCGGTCGCGGTGCCACCACAAGTGCAACAAATTGTCGAACATGTGAACAAACACATACCACAAGTGATCCTCTACCTAAAGGAGCAAGCACAAAAACTACAAGAGTTTATCAACAAATTTCAACAGCAACAACAGCAGCTAGCACAAGATGTTGCCAGTGAACAGCAGGCGGTGTTGCCGCAGGTACCCGCTAAAGTGCAACAAATCGTTGAACACGCGCATCAACACATTCCACAAGTGGTCAGTCATGCACAGCAACACATACAGCAAGTACAGAAACAACAGCAACAACAACAAGAGAATGAAGTGCGGCAGGTGCAAACTGTTGGACTCTCTCCAGCTGTTGCAAAGGTGCAATCTTCCGTCCCCGCAAATGTAGCGCCAGTTGTCAATCAAGCACAGCAAGTGCAAAACCAACAACAGGGTGTTGTACAGCCGGTACAGGGTGTTATAGTACCACAGCAGGTTCATAAAAGAGTCTATACTGTGCAACAAGGTGTCACGAAACAACCGAATCAACCAAATCAGGCACCGAATCCTGCTGCTGGTGTGGCTGGGCAGCTAACCGTTGAAGTTCAGCTGTGAACGCCGAAATATTGTTTCAATGCTTCGATTTTCCAAACACTGTTTCATAAGATTTCGTTTAGTAAAAAATCACTGCCTTCATTTTTGATATAAATTTTTTTCTGAAACACGCAAAGACACTTTTGTTTTATTTACTTTTCCATTTTGATATGGATGGAGTAACATCCTTTGACATCGGTGAAACTTTGACTTTCGATTTTGAAGCGCTTAGAGCTCTGCATGAACTCGTTTAACGTTGCAGTACACTTTTCCATACAATTTAATGAGCTTTCGTTATTCCCATGCCTTTTTTGCTCTCTAAGCAAAAGTCTCTAAGACTAAGTAAGATCCAAAGTTCCGAATCTTCCACACTTTTCCTTAAAATCCCATGATAATCCGTGAGTCTGGAGCTTCTGAGAAAGTATCGTAAGTAAGGAATTTTCAAAAGTCATAAAGCTTAGGAATCCAATCTCGCTCACAAAATTAAACATCCCTATACTGTTGACTTGAAGATACTGTGTCAGGTGGAACTCTATATATATGAGGTTGTCAAAAAAGTCTTGCGGTATAGCGCATAGTTCTAGTTTTATTCCTCGCATCGGGTCATGCTATACCTTTTTGGAAAGCTCATTTCACGCGCTAACACGTGTTTGATTAATTTTCGTTTCTTTTAAGTTGTTTTCGACGGTTTTCAAGCATAAATCGGCCGATACTGCTGCAATTTCACGTTCGATATTCGGCCGAAGTTCAACAGACGTCGCTGGCTTATTGGCATAGACCATAGGATAGGGTCATTTCGTGCGATAACACGTTCACCAAACTTGATTTTCAATAAAACGGAACTATTGGAACCACATATTGTCCAAGTTCATATCGTTCAATTTGGGCCAAAAATATTTGGTTATCATTGAGCGGTAGCGATTCCCATTCACAGTAATGTACGGCAACAAAGCGTAATTTTATCCAGATGCAATGGTAACTCATGAATTAAGTGTGGATTGCTGCCTGACTAATAATGCATACTTTGTTTATTGAAGAAGCCATTCAGCCAGAAATTCGTTGAAAATCCGGGTCATTTTCAGGTTTTTGCTCAGTAGAATTCACGAACACACAACGATTCTGGTGGTCAAGTGGCTATCTAAAAAACAATAGTAGGGTTATTCATTTGAAGGCATGTATTTAAATTCATGTATACAAACGAAATATTTATCGAGTTTCCAACCATAAAATCCAAGAAGCATATATGACTTCAGTTAATTTTTCCGGAACATCTAGTGAAACTTGGTAAAGTATAAGCTAAAATTGGAAATTGTTCTCTCAGCTTGGAGACCGGAAAAAATGGGTTCGCAGAGGTTTGTTCAACATGTATCGCATATCAGTTTATTTTCGGTATAGCCTTCCGAACCTTCTTCGTTTCAGTTTCTATCTCCTCAATTGTGTGAAAACGGCGTTACCGTATTATCCTTTGAAGTTTGCTAAACAGCACGGAGCCAAATCAGGCAAATAGGGGCGATTATGCAACGACATGAAACGAATTTGTGGTAAAAAAGTAGCAAAGAAGCAATGAAGTTGAACCTGTTGAATTTGAGCGATTTTGAAGCTTTCGAGACTTCATGTGTTCGCTCCACAAAATGCTTTATCAAATTATTCAGTCTGACGTACTATAAATCGTCACTATCGGCGATCTCTCTAACTGTCAATCGACGATTTTCTAGCAATAAATTTTTGAAGTATCCCTCGTCAGTAAAGGTTGATGGTCATCCAGAGCGTCCAGACTTTACAAAAACACGTGTAATTTGGAGATAATTAATCTTTTAACAAACAGACTTCTGGGAATTATTATACACGGTTCTACCCATCGTGAAAAAAATGTAACTGCCTTCCTGATAATGTAGCCCGCGAGAATTCAAAATTCACGATACTTTTTGTAGCAATCTCATTGGGCTTTTGTTTCGAAATAGAATATATCAAATTCTCTTCTACATAAGTAACTATTTGTCTTTCGAAATAATATAAAAAAGTTTTTGTATACATATTGAAAATTTATATTTTTATCTAACTTAGAGCTAGTTTGGTTTTTGAGAAGAAACTTCCCAATCTAAGGAAAAATTTTAGTTGAAAGTGAAAAGGTAAATCCATATGTGATAACATGAATTTCTTAATCTAACACATATTTCCATCAAATTTGCTGAACTTTGTTTTACCAAGCTTTCAGCTGCCCATTTTACATTGCTTGAGTTCATCAACTGGTCATTGTCGATATTCCTGTGTCTCAACTTAACCATAAATGCGCGCGTCTTGTGCAGTGGCTTCTTGTGGTCTAAAGACTTGTGCGAGTATGTGTTTGGTATCCAAAACATTGCCATACTTAGGCACCTTAACCTTCACGGCTTGTAGAACGGACTGTGAGACGACGCCTACTCCCGGTAATGGCGCTGGACCACCAGGCGGTAATAGAATAACTTCCTCGCTACTAGATACAGAAGAAATGGAATCTGGCACCGGTATGATTGGTTGAGGCTGTCCGCCAGGTGTAATCAGTAGCTCCTCACTCGATGCCGACGAGATGGAGTCGACAACGCGTACTCTGTATGCGTTGGCGTATAGGATGACTGTGTGCAGAATGAGAAGTAAATAAAAGTATTGAGGTTAAAAGGTCAGCACAATAATATTGATTATTTACTTACTGGTTACAAAAGTCACAAGGAATTTCATGTTGTTGCTTTAAGTAAACGCAGTTCTTAACTGTCTTAGTTGAGTTGCAACTGAAACTCTTTTATATAGTGGATAGTGAGCTCGCGTTGCAGCTAACGCCCCGCCTAAAAAAGTCTTAAAATTAACTTATTTGATGGGATTTTTGTACTCTTTGCATTATTGGTAAGCTTAGTCGGTTATGAAAACTTTCATTTCCATTTTTCAGAACTTTCGAATTCCTCGCACGATTTATACTACTGCATAACGCTCGACAGCCGAACACGCGCTGGGTATATCAAAACCACGCGCCGGCCGCCGCTCGTGTCTTAATGCCAATATATAATTTTATTTATGTATTCTGCTATAACTTTAAATTTGGTACTTTTTCGATGTCTTCGTCTGTCTGCTGTCTTAGTGAATCAAATGTGATCTTTTTTCGCACACCCACTTTGTTACTCATCCATTTACATGTGGTATGTAAATGAGATTGAGGGTAAGTCGCTCCAAACAGGTTGGGCATTATTTGAATTGATTTTTCGTTTATCATTTAAATTGATATTAAATTACGATTTTATTATCTTTTCACTGTGCCATATTAGTGTGTGGCCTGAGCAGCCGACTAGGTTAGGTTAGGTGGCCGATCAAAGATCGTACTTGGCCCACTATATGTAGACCTGTGTGAGGTAATAGAAAAAAAGACAATCGATGTTATTGACAGCTAAGGTAGACACTCCTTGGTCAGCCCTGAACGCACTGTTAATGACTTAAAGCTATTATCGCCGCTCTGCTATTTGAATGGATGGTCACTTCTCCGGAGGAGGCTGCACTTCGGAGCAGTAAATCTACTACTTCCTTAATAACTGCAACCTTGGCCTGGAAGATACTGTAATAGTCAGGAAATCTGAAACTGAAGGTGTCCTCTAACGGCTGATTCCCACCCACAACTCCCTCGACGGTATATGGGTAAAGAAGAAGTCGCTTGACTTCGGCTTAGCGACTCCATGATCCAAGAGATCCGGTATGTAGTTAAAGTGAGTGAGGATTCCCGAGTGTCCAGACTCATGTTCTTTTAGGCACCCAGATCCTTTGGGACTGATGGCAACTTTCGCAGCCATTCACTACCCGACGATGTCCACGGACAATATGTGCAGGATGGCATTAAGTGCCATGTTTGGAGTGAAGCTGAGTGCACCGCATATGCTGATGAACGCTCTCGAGTTTCTTTGCCTGTGTGAACTTTTCTAGAGTGCTCCACCACATAAAGACCATAGAACATAAAGGGCTTGACAATTGTGTCGTAGAGCTATAGGACCACTTATGGTGAGAGACCCCACCTTTTGCCAATGACTCCTCTACAGCAGTTCAAGGCAATCGATGCCTTTTTTCATTTCTCTTCGATATTCGGCTTCCACGAAAGTTCCTATCTAGGATAAGACTTAGATATTTCTCTGTATCCGCTACTTGTAAAAGAAGAAAAAAATCTTCAATACATAGTTTTGCAGATTTTTCTTAGAAGCTCAGTCAAATATCTATTAAATTTAATAGTTATGTTAACGATCTAGATTCCATAGCAACATGTCATTAGATTAGACCTCAATTCAATTACTTTTGCATCGTATGATAAATATATGGTTAGGTTTGATTTGTTTCAGAGTTAGATCCAAATAGGAATCTCACTTCGATAGATTAGAACGCCGGCCCGAATAGACAAAGTGCCTAGATCCTATTACACATTTTTTGAGATGGCTATGGTCAGTTTCGTTTATGTCTCCTTGTTAAACCACAGTCAATGCAAAGACTGAAAAGCGAAGGAAAGGCTGCTTGAATGTTTTCAACTCATGCTCCTCCATTACAATTTAACAACTGGGGTTCGGCAAAATTTTTACTCTAAGCCAAAATAAACTTCAACAAATTTCTTTGACATAAGCCTGAATTCTAAATGAGAAAAATGAAAGATGTACTCAGTAGGGCCGAAAAGCTTCCATCGTTAAAAAAAAGTTAACGGTTCTTAACAAAATACCCAGAAACCAATATAATAACATTCATAGTTCGTAATCCCGAATCACAGCTCTTCGAGTGCTTAAGTAGAACAAATTGAGGTACAAAATTTCCAGCGAAATGACTAAGCGTCTAATCAAAGCTAAATTATTTAGCCGCACCACACACTGTGCCGCAGAAATGGGTGTTAACTAGCGAGGTCGGCGGAAACTAATTGCGTATCGGCTGACAAATGTTTGCGTATAAATAACACAAAGTACCGTTAGCTACCATGTAGGCAATACAAGAAAGCATAATATGATACTGAATGTACAGAGCGAAGAAGCACTTCGGCGGCGAAGTGAGTCTCAGTGAAATGGAGGTGTAAGGCATGGCTAAAGTGAGATTAGGCATTTCAACGGTTCTTAGCCGGTAGCAAAAAGCCACGATCCAATCCTGTTTTTA